CTGCACAATATGGTAGTAGTCAAAAAATCGAGTCGAACTTTGGTTCTCTTTTTAATGGAGGTTGTTTTGATTAATATTCCAGGTACAACGGATATTGCCAAGATTCTTATCGATAATAGGAGCAATGTCAATGCTGAGGATGAAATCAAATGGACGCCTCTCCATATATCTGCACAAAATGGTAATAGTCAAAAAAATCAAGTCGAACTTTGGTTCTCTTTTTGATGGAGGTTGTTTTGATTAATATTCCAGGTACAACGGATATTGCCAAGATTCTTATCGATCATGGGAGCAATGTCAATGCTGAGAATGAAGTCAAATGGACGCCTCTCCATATATCTGCACAATATGGTAGTAGTCAAAAAATCGAGTCGAACTTTGGTTCTCTTTTTAATGGAGGTTGTTTTGATTAATATTCCAGGTACAACGGATATTGCCAAGATTCTTATCGATAATAGGAGCAATGTCAATGCTGAGGATGAAATCAAATGGACGCCTCTCCATATATCTGCACAAAATGGTAATAGTAAAAAAATAGAGTCGAACTTTGATTCCCTTTTTAATGGAGGTTGTTTTGAATAATATTCCAGGCACAACGGATATTGCCGAGCTTCTTATCGAGCATGGGAGCAATGTCAATGCTGAGAATAAATACAAATCGACGCCTCTCCATGTAGCTGCAAAAAATAGTAATATTACAAACTATCGACTCAAACAATGAATTCCTATTCATGTTTGATTCTTCGTTTTTCAGGTAAGAAGGATGTGGCCAAACTTCTTATCAATCGTGGAGCAAATATTTATGCAAGAGATAAGTATAACAATACTCCCGTTTTTGTGGCTCCCCGTGCTATGGCCAAATATATTAATGAACAATATAAGAAATATAACGAAGAAAAAGCTGAACATTTTTTTTTGATATTTGGTAATTAGTGTTCATTTTCTTGTATTTAATTCATTTGTTATTAATCATTTGGATAATTTATGTAATTTTTTCCAGACCACATTCGTTATATGTAAAGACTTACTTAACTTGAAATACTATACATTTCTCTTCTCACAGGATACACATCCATCGTAATAGTACTCGGATTTTGTGTTGTGACAATTCTGATTTGTTTTCTACGTGAACGAAGGCAACGAGTTCAGTTGACAAAAATTCTTCAAGGGAATCCAAAGAGCATTGATGAAGACTAGGGGCTCGGAACATGAAAAAAAAAACAAAATGAACACAGTTTTGACAATTTTGTATGAATGTGGTGTATAAATGGAAAATATTGAGAATATTTTGAATATTTCTCATATTTACGTAATTATTTGTCATTATTCAGCTCGTATATGGCACCGATGTAAAACAACCACAACACAAAATAAAATTAAAAAAGCCTAAAAAACTTATATTTCTTTGATAAAAAAATAATTTGACTGAAGAACATCAAAAATGTATAGGTAAAAGTGTTCTAAGTTTGTGTGATTTTATAAATAACATTCCACAAAATGACATACATCATTTGCCGCCATTTTCATATTTACGATAATCAAAATATTGGGAATATTCAT